TCCCAGCAACCCTGTAGTCCCCCAGGCCCCTGCCCAAGGGGAGGACTACGGCAAAGGCGTCATCTTCTACCTCAGGGACAAAGTGGTGGTGGGAATCGTGCTGTGGAACATCTTCAACCGAATGCCAATAGCAAGGAAGGTAGGTGCCCGTCAGAGCTCTGAGAGAAAGATGGGAGGTGTGGGCGGAAACCGTCCCTGCGACTTCGTCAGACGTCCTGCCACGCACTGTCCACCCAGGTCAGACTGTGCCTGAGCAGAACAAAGGTATCGCCTTGGCTCGGGTATGTTTCTTTTTCACTTGGGACATGGCTGGGTAGCATGGGCATTGGCATATGCTCACTTGGGCTTCGTAGAAAGCCATTCCCACAACTCCCTCCCAGTGTGAAGTGGCGACTGGCCCGGGCTGCCCTGGTGTGCGGCCCAGCCCACACGCTCCTTGTTCCTCTGCCCCTCAGATCATTAAGGACGGTGAGGAACATGAAGATCTCAACGAAGTAGCAAAGCTTTTCAACATTCATGAAGACTGAAGACTGCTGTGGAACAGGCAGGCCCTTTGCTGTCCCCGACAGCAGCTTGGATGGGTAAAGGAGCGTTTTTTATTCAGCAGACTTCCTCTGTATGTATGAGTGTGAATAATCAAGTCCTTTGTGAATATTTCATCCATGTAGGCAAATTCTTAATGTTCACATCATTAAATAAAACCTGATTCTTCTAAATTAAATTCTCTTCTCTTTGAAAGGGAGCAAGTGGGTGAAGGGAGGAAAGTGTGCATATTAGAGAGCAAGTCGGTTGGAGCCACTCCCAAGTGCATCATCTTCCTCGGCCTTGTACTCCCTGCCCCACACTCTCAGCTTCTTTCAGTTCACTGAACTTCTCCCTCACCCCTCCAGACCTCCTGTACGGACCTGCTGTGACCTCTGCCCACAGCACTTGACCCCTCTCCCCTCCTCTGGGGAACGTCCCGGTCTCTGAAGACTTTCCTGATCCTTCCAAGCCTGTTCCTTGTTTACATGTCTCCCTGCTGCTCTGCAGCTTCCTGGAAGCCAGAACCATGGCTTTCCTGTCTTGCTCATGGTTCTCTCTCCAGAGCTGAGCACAGGCTCTGGCTCACAGTAGGTGCTTAGTGAATCGTTGAATGAGTGTACACATAAACATGTGGACTAGACTCTGCTCTACCTGGGACAGCTCCCCTGTGTACCCCCACAGCCCAGAACTGAACTGGTCTTGGGAGGGGAGGGCAGAAAAGACATTTATTGAAGACGGAAACGAAGGTTCGGAGACCTGCTTCATGGCTAAGCCTGGAGCCTGACTCTGAGGGATTGTGGTCTCTCAACTCCTCCGCCCGCTGTCCCCCAAACTAGAAATCTGCCCTCTCCTAACCCCTTTTATCTCAAATAGGCTTATAGGCATGACTCACTTTACAAATGATTTCCTGGGAAGAGAAGTCAGTTTCATAAATCAACTCATTTTTTGCATTTCAAATTACTTAACTTTTAAAAATCAAATCTTATTTCAATTAAGAGGAAATTTTTACTACTTTCAAGAGTCCTATTGTGAATCTTCTTCTAAAGAGAAAATTACTACCAGGCTGGATTTTTTCGATATTGGGTTTGTTTAAAGGGAGTTGCAGCTACAATGAAATTCCTTCTGAACACTAGGACAGGACAAATGTCCACTTTAAGAATTAGCTGTACTAGGGCTTCCCTGGTGGCGCGGTGGTTGAGAGTCCGCCTGCCGATGCAGGGGACGCGGGTTTGTGCCCCGGTCTGGGAGGATCCCACATGCCGCAGAGCGGCTGGGCCGGTGGGCCATGGCCGCTGGGCCTGCGCGTCCGGAGCCTGTGCTCCACAGCGGGAGAGGCCACAACAGTGAGAGGCCCGCGTACCACAAAAAAAAAAAAAAAAAAAAAAAAGCTGTACTAGAACAGGTTCTTACTAGATGTATACAGGTTTAGTGAAATATAATCTGAGGCATGACATATTTAAGTCCATAATGTAAGTAGAAAACTCATCTAGTATCCTGTGAAACGGGACTTATTATACAGTAATTGCTGCTTACAAAGATCTTACAGCTGTAAGATCCTAAAATGTTTCACAAATCATTTTTTAAAAAGATCGAATTGTGATTTGCCTTGTTTTAGTATCAGGTACAATTTAGTCTAATTCTTTGACAGTTGTCATCCTTGTATGGAATGTCATAATAATTCGGTTAATTAAAATGAAAGGATGTATTCTTCTATTCAGTGTTCACTGAGTGCCTACTAACGAGCCAGGTAGATGGCAGAAGAGGAAGGTGGAGAAAACATGGCCACTTCTCTTAAGGAGCTCCTGGTGTCAGTGAGGAAAGCAGACATGTGAACGCAGAAGTATAATGTACTCAGTTGTGTCCACAGGAAGATACACACCAAGAATGGACATCAGCCAGAGCATCCGTCCTTTGTCAACTACTGCTGCTAGATCACTTCCTAAAGCATCACTTGGTCCATATCCCCCCACCCTACCTCCTGGTGACCAACGTACGTTGACTCCCTGTCACCAATCACATCAGGTCCGAAGCCTTCCATAGCGCTCTTGACCTCAGCCCACTCTGCCCTGCGGGCCTCCTCTGCCACAACTTCATGTGCATGTGCATACGCACATATACATCTGGTTTATTGCCACCTTTAAACTTTTGTTTGTGCTCTTCACATCTGGAAACCGTCCCTATTCCCTTCTACGTATCCAAATCCTGCTCATCTTTCAAGGCCCAGATGAAATCCCACCATGGTGATGTAGTACCAGTTGGACTAGTGCCCGCCCATGATTTCATCTCTGAACTTCGATTGCACTTACTGCCTTTGAACTTGATTGTTCTTTAAGTCGTTCTCTGCATTATTAGTGTTCACTCCCTAAATTGTTTGTAAGCTATCCCAGAGCAGAGACTTTTTTCTCAGGATGGGGACAACATGCGCCATCCCCCAAAACCCTGGCAAAGTGCTGACCAAGCCCTTGGTTGCTTGGTTGGATGATGCTAGATAACAGGGCTTATTGTAAGAGTGAGCCTCTGCCTTGTAGCCTCAGTTCTCTGTAATCCAGGTTATCAGACCCCCATTACTTCACCCACTGCCACGACTTGCCACTTTACCCAGGATGCATTTAACCTGTTTAGGCCCCCAAGTATCGCAAGGACCAATTTCTGACTGTACAGACGACCAGTGCCAGCTGAGGTTTGGCCCTCGATAGCTGGCCTGTGATTAGCTGGGCCACAGCGCAGCACAGTACAGGGCTAGCCACACCCTGCAAAGTTGGGGATCTGCCAAAATATCAAGCTTTCAGGGCTCACCCACTTGACTTCAACCTCGCTTTTCTTTGCCATTTTACAACTGACATCTGGTGGTACCTCGGCACTGCTTCACAATGGTACTAACATTTGCCTGGCCACCTGTAAGGCACGGTGAGGGATGTCCTCGTACTTTAGCTGGAGAAATGGACCTGAGGGAAGGAAGTGTGTTTGATTGGAAAGGGGTCAGAGTAAGCCTCTTAGTGGAGGATGAGGTCAACGTGTGTGACTTTTTTGTTGTTCTAATCAACAGGGCCTGTTTTGGAGACAAGAGGCTTAAAGCAAGCGAAAGGGAGGGGGGGTGGGGAATCCACAGTGACCTACTGCAGGCTGCTTCCTTGAAGGAAAATCAGCAGCCCCTCTAGAGACCCATTTATACAAAGGAACTCTCCCCTCCCTTCCACCACTACCCCTTCCCTTTCCCGCTCCTCTCAAGTTTGGCTGCTGCAATATCCCTTCCGTCCTTCCCTGACTCCACCTAAAGCTGGGCACCCTTGCTGCCCTAGAGACCATTGGGACTCAATTCCAGTGCCTTGCTCTCTGGGCAGAGGGAAAGTCCTGCAGGGCCCAGAGGTGAAGTAAGACCGCCTCTGGCCTCTTTCCCATCTTATCAGAGAATTTCTGGCGGGCACAGACGAATGTACACAGAACCACACACAGAGACACACAGCTCAGGCCAGTGATGACGTTCCCCTGCCTGGCTGGTTCTACAGATGGGTGTGAACTGGGTCAGAGTATAGGGAGGGTCTGAATATTTAAATTCTGGACTGCCAAGCCCTGGTTGGAAGACAGGGATCATCTCAAAATGAACATTTTGAGAAAGAGAAACGCAGCCCCTGACATCTGGAAGCTGGCCTGGGACTGTCAGCAAGGCCTTGGTGTCACTAAAAACTGGCTTAACACGCCCCACTAGGCCTGGGTGTTCTGTTGAACGTAAACAGGTTCACGGGACATTAGAATCGTACAAGGCCACCCTGATCATGGTGGATGGAAACAAAAGCAAGACTACTCCAGAATCATGTGTGAACGCAGGCAAAAATATGAACACTGCCCAAGCCACAGAAATGACCAAATACCGCCCTCCGTCCTGGCTAATCTAAGTGACTGCTGCTTCCTTACCAATTACATATTGAGCCTCGCTCCAGTCTGCCCTCCTATTGGATATGATTGATTCAGTAAGACACTCCCTGACAGCATCCAATCCAGAGCAATGCCCGGCTTCCTTAAACCCTCCCGCAAATCACCCAACCTGGCCTGAATCCTATAATAAGTCCTTCCCAGCACCCTCTTCCTGAGACACCCCATGGTTCCCCAGGGCATGCATCCTCCCTCGCTGCAGTGAGCAATGAACTCAACTTGTTCGACTACAAGAGTGCCCTGGTGGTCTTTGGCTGGTGGGCATTGAAAATTTGGAGACAAAGAGCCAAAATACCTTCGGGAGGCCCACCTGTGAGTTTTGCCTAGTCTCGTACCTTCTTGAAGACCTTACCTGGTCCCAGTGGAGCCTCCAAGGTCTGTGTCTCAGTTGGAGAAGGCCAGGAGTCTCATCTGGTGCCTGGACAGAGGTGTCTGGCTTCCCAAGCAGGTTCCCGCCTCTGCTCTCTTGGCATTTGCAGCACAACACGGAGATGCTTCTGGAGGAACACCCAACATGGGTGTTGCATTTATGAATACACACATACGTTCGTAAATGGATTTATTGGTCAGCTAGCAAACATAACTGCGTAACTTGCTGCATGCCGTGGGCCAATAGGCCCCAGAGATAAGAAGATGAGTAACATACAGTCCCTGCCCTCAATGGCTTTAGAACCTAGTGGCGGACACAGACGGGTCAACAGGAACCATCAGTGCAACAGAAGTGCTGGGAGTATGATGTGTGAGTTCACATCGGAACTTCGTTACTCCTCAGATGGCTTTACTGTTCTGCTTCCATCTAGTCCAGGCTTTTCTTCCACTGACCAAATTGTGTTTCTTCCTCCATTCCCTGCTTGTAACTTCTCTCATCTCTAGGAGCAGAACATGAATATGTTTTCTTAAATAAATATGTATAATATCCTGAATACAGAGGATGGAGCTGCCAGCCTCCTTGCCCAAAGAGATCACCCCTTTTCCTCTTCACTTTTCCTCAGCCCCTTCCTTTTCCCTCCTTCCTCGCCCACTTGTTTTCCTTCTCCCTGTGTTTCTTCTTCAGGTTCCAGTAAGTACTCCCTGCCCGTGTTTCTTCCTCCCGAAGCTGGGGAGCACAGCGGAAGGAGCGCTCTTTGGGATCTGTGTCTCAGCTTTGCCACTCACTCCTGGATGACCCAGAGCAGCTAATTTCCTAGGTCTCGGCGGCCTCATCTGTGAAATGAAGAGAACAGACTAGATCATCCCTCCACCCTCAGCTCTAACATCCTGTGTATGGAAAAGTCTCTCAGGTGCTTCTTCATCTCTCCGTGGACTCAGTTGCCTTTCATCTCTAAGTCTATAGCAGATGCTAATGGGACCTAAAGCCTTTGGCAAATGTCTCCCCACATTGCCTCTGCTGTCCCTTTGGCTCAACAGATTTTTTGTTTATTTGTTTGTTTTAGTTTGAGGCTTATGATTCTTCTTTGACTCAGCAAGTAACATTTAGACCTAGGCCCCTAGAAATCGCTCCTTGCCGGATTTGCTCTCCATGGAGAGTTTAACAGCCTTAAAACTACGCTCCATGAAAGCCCAGAATTTCCCCAGGAAGGCTTTATGGTGAGACAATGCTCAGCCATGATCCTAGCACATACATTCCTACACAACCATTCAGTGGCTCCCAGTCCCCAACAAACACACCCTGCAGAGCTGGCCGGTGACCAGCCACCTTAACCCAGGCAGCTTTCAACCTGACGCTGAGACAATTAGCTCAGAAAACCCCCCTCATACCACATAAGCCCCAAGTCCTGAAACTAGCTTGTACGCCCCCTTTGCTCTTAAGTCCATGGTCATTTCCACGTTAGCCATGGTCCTGGCAGAGCCCTGCCCCAAAGTGCAGAGACAAGTGAGCCAGGAAGCTGGCAAGCTCCACCACCCGATTCTTACCATAGAGACAAAAGGAAACTGCATACAGGGAAAGAACGAAAATCCAGCACTGTGATTTGCTAGGTGGAAAAGGATGCTTAAGGATCTCTGTCCGTCCAGAGGGAAAGGGGAGCTTTAGGTGTTTCAGAGCAGGCCTGCAGAGCCCCGCCAGCGTGAAGCCTTCCTTGGCCCAGGCCTGAGGTCCTCGGCCACCTTTATTGAGGCTAATATCCCAAGCAGCCTGAGTGAGATTCTGGTCTCCCACTACAGTGGGAGTCCTCAAACTAGTGGCACAGTGTGGGGGGCAGAGACTGGTGGTGAAAACAGGGAATCCTTGACCTCAAAGTCACCCCCACCTCAACCTGGCCTGGGCCAATACCAAGTTCTAGGAGAAAGGCCACATCGACCTCTCAGCAATTGGTCAGCTTGACTTAATGCAGGGGGTGGAGGGCAGCTCAAAGCTCAGAGCACTCCGCCTTTGTCCCCTTGGTGGCGCCAGCCCTTGTGCTGGCCTGTTCACTAGAACAGGAGGTTCCAAAGAGACCTCAGCTTCCAAGTGAACTCCCCAGCCAGTCCTGAAGCAGCAAGGCTCACTGCGTGAGATGGATAATTGCAGAAGGATACCTTGATGGGAGTTTTGCCTAAAGCTGCAAACGTACACTGCCCTCCCGGTCACCACCTGTTGTTCCCCAGAACAGAGCGGCGTGGGGGGCAGAGACCGAGTTTGGTGGTCTCCACAAGGACTCCCGCCCTCCCGCCGCTCCTCTCCCAGCTGCCCCACCGAGTCCTTCTCCGGGAGTCCGAACCCGCCCCTTCTCGCCCGACGGGGAGCGAGGAAGGGGGGTGGGCAGGAAAGAAGGGATTGAGGGGAAGTTTCAAGGGGTGTGCCGGGGAGGGGGGAGGATTCTCATGAGTCAGCGGATCGGGCTCAGTGTGACTTCACTGCTTCCCGAGAAGAGGCGCCCGGGGCAAGAGGCCGCTCGGAGTGCAGCCGCTGGAGTGGAAGGTCGGAGCGCTGGGCGGGGCTACGGGACGGGGTTCGGGGCTGGCCTGGTCGCTCGGGGCCGGGGCGGCGCGAGGAGGCCGCTGGCGAGCGGGGACCGCTCGGGGCAGCGGCGCCGACCTCTCCCCCTCTCCTCCTCCGCCGCAGCCAGTTCCCGCCTCGGCCCGAGACGTGGCGCGCGTTCCGCCTGTAGGTGGCGCTGCTGAGGCGCCGTGGGCGCGCTGCTGGGGGTCTGGGTGGGGAGCTCTGCCCCCGCGGGGAATCCCGGGGGTGCAGGGTGGGCGGCCCATGCAAACGGATGGCGAGGGGAAGGCGCAAGGGGCCGCCACAACCCCCACTGTCCTTCGGGCCCGGCGCTCCCACCCGAGTGGCGGCAGAGTTCGGAGAGCCGACCTGCTACGCTAGCGTCCAGGCGTGGGGCCGCCTGGTGCGCGCTTCTTCAGGGTCCCCCGGGGCACCTATCGGGTCCCGCAGAGCTCGGGGAGGCTCGCCTCCAGCTAAGGGATCGCGGTTTATGGGCAGCGTTTCCTCTCCGGGGATGGCGCTCTTGACCCGCGGGCAGTAGAATGGAAAGTTTGAATCGCTTCTCCAGCGTTAGGGGTGGGTTTCCCTGAGCAGCTACTCTCCAGCCTGGCTCCCTTGAGACCAAGGATGCATCTCTTGCAAAGGGACAGGCTGTGGCCGGCGTTGGGGTGCAGTCTGGGACCAGGGCTTGTGCTAGATGAGGGGTAGGGGCTCAGCTTTGGGCTAGGTGTAGGGCGATGGTTAGGGATTCCATGCTTGTCAACCCGGTCTTCAGCAACTATGTAAAAAACAAAAAGCGAAGAGGCCCATCTGGGGCTCAAACTTGCAACCTTGGCCTCGGTTGATAGAGCTTTGTGCCCTACCTCCGTGCAGGCCCTGAGCTCTAGTAGTCATGATGCAGCTGACCTTCCCATGTTGGTTCATGGTTATGTGGTGGCTGGTTAGTTAACATATTGAGAGTATCAGGGCACAAAAATAACCTGTGGCCAGACACCTTTAAGCTGAAAGAAAAAAGTTGTTGGGGGCTCCAGCCTCACCCTTTCCAGAAGCTCCAGTGGCTGGCTCTTTCCATGATACAACTTTACATATAACTATATGGATAGAGTGTGTCTCCCTTATCGGTGCCAAGATATAAAAGCTATGCCCTGTACTAGGGTTCTGGGTGCCTCTTCTCCTCCGTCAATCAGTCCAGCTCCTCTGCTTTCAGGATGTCCAAAGCCATCTGAGAAAGTTATCTAAGGATTTTCCATAAAGGAGAGGAAAGGGGGGAAAAAAACCCAAAGGATCCTAAACGTTCCCAGGTTTCACTGTGTGCCAGGAGAAATACCGTCTGTCTCCCGCCCAGACCTCAGAGCCCGGGCCTCCTTCCTACAGGGCGGTGCCCAGCTATTCCTGGAAACCCCCTCCTTTCTACCAACCCCTTCCCCAAAGTGTCTCCTCCCAGAGCACGACCTAGGAAAAGGATCGTATTGTCAAAGTTTGATGTCCCCCGTCCCCTTTTTCTGTCCCCAACCTGACCTGCCACAGTCCTCAGCCTGCCCCCTCCCTTGATGCCCACATGCTGGCTTCTCCTCCCGGAGCAGGGCCTGAGCTGTGGCCTCTCCCTCCAGCCTGGCCCCGCGCCCCACTAGGTGACTGGGAGAGGATCTGATATACTAATTTGTGTTAATATGATAATGGGCACTAATGGGGTCACGTGCTAACCACGGCCTCACTGCCTCAACCCCAAGTCGAGGTTGCAGGCTGACTAATCTCCACAGCCGGCTTGGGGGGCGGGGAGTGGGAGGAACCCAAGCCTGGGGACAATCCCAGGGTGCTGGTGCCTTCGAGCTGCTGCCTCGGTTTCAGTTTCATCCTTGGCTGACACTTTCCTCTGACGAGTGGAATTGCTTTGGTTTTCCTCCAACCCCTCTCCCCTCCGCGGCTGTCCCCCCCACTTAGACTGCTAGCTTCCCTCAGCCAGCCCTTCACTTCGTGAGGGGAGAGATGGGAAGATAATTTGGCAGCGATGAGGAAAAAATGTACACGTAGACACCCTCAGACGCACAGGCTCACATACCACACTGCCTTGCAGACACACACATGCACACGCCCTCCACAAACACACATGCATGCACGAGGGGACTTGACACTCACATCCAAGAGTCGAGCCCGTGTGTGTGTGTGTGTGTGTGTGTGTGTGTGTATGCACACACTGGCCATGGTTACACCCTCGCTCACATCTGAGGGACACACACGGAGTCACACATAGGCAGGCTAGGCCCTCCAGAGACCCATCCCACACACAGACCCACACACACACTCACACACTGTCACACACACACGAGCAGCGGCAGCCCAGTTGGATGGCTTCCTCAAAAGAGGGCTGGAAAGTTTGTTTGCTGCCAGCGAAGGGGCCTAGACATTCCGTGAAATGACTCATACTGCACCTTTATAGACATTAAATGTTGTATTTTTCTGGATTCAACAACAACAACAACAACAACCACCACCCTCTCCCCACCCCCCGTCATGGGGGCACGGTAGGGGAAGTGAGGCGTGCTGCCTCACGGGCCTCTGTCTAGCGCCCGCCTCAGGCTTGTCCTTGCCTCCCTGTGGGATGGGGCAATCCTGAAAGGGCAGAGTCCTTTACCTCCTGGTACAAAGCTCAGCCTGGACCCGCCCCTTGGCAGGATGTGAAGTGGGTGAAGTCGGGAGCCAAGTCTCCCTCACAGCCCCTCCCCATTATCCCACCGCATCCCCAGTCCCGAGGACCTGCAGTCAGGCCCAGTGCCCCCACTTGGTGTTCCAAAATGAGCCCTTCGTCTTCTCTCCATCCATTCAAGCGCCCTTCCCCAGCTCTCCTGGGTTTGTCCTTACTGCCCTCTCCCGCACAACTCCAGGAGGCGCCATTCGCCGTATAGAACACGAGCACCCCATACAACATGACTGGAGCCCCCTTCTCTCTCCTGAGCCTCTTCTCCATCTGAGGAGGTACCGCCCAGCTCAGTGGCTACTTGTGTCCCTGTCCCCCAGCACACTCAAGTGCCAGGGAAATCACTCGCTGCTGTCCTCCGGCAGGGCCTCCATGTGCTGGCATCCCTCTGCACCCCCATCTCGAGCCCTGCCCCCTACCAGCAGCTCCTTGGGCCAAGGCCTCCCTAGGCCCACTCGTGTTTCCTGCAGCCTTGAGGGGAGGCACCTCTGGAGTGTCATTTGGAATCCCCGCAGGGCTGAGGGGCACAGCGAGGCTGCCCACCACACCAGATGGGTGCCGGGCCAGCAGATGTCGGGGGTTGAGGGGTTAACTCTAGTTCCACTGGACAGTGGCCCAAAAACTCTGGATGCTGTGCTGCCTCTGATAGGTGCCCCAGAGCAGTCGCCTGCTCTCGGCTCTTCTCTAAGGGACTTTTCCAGGCTGAGCCTAGGCCCCAAGATCGGGGCTAGGGACCAGTGGGATTAGAGCCTCCAGAGGGCTTGCCCTCATTTACTGAACTCTGCCTGAGCCAATTCTTCCTTATTTTTCGCAAATGAACCACAGGATTGGGTCCCTCCCCCTACACCCACCCTCCAAATCTCCCGCCAACCCAGAGGCACTGAATCTGTTTCCCAAATACAGTATTAGGCCGGCTCCCCTGGCAGTGCGTGCAGTGGAGACAGTGCCTCCCTGAAGCCGCTGAGCCCAGGGTGGACACAGGGCACTCACTCAGGGCCCGTGGCACCTTCTATATCTGGCTGGCATCTCCCTCCAGGCAGGCCCCTGAGCTGCTGTCTGGCCCCTCCAAAAAGTGAAACCCAGCGCTCCTCTGAAATTTTGTAGGGGCTCTGAGGATGCCAGGTCGTGTCCCAGTAAAGGCCTGGAGGAGAAATGTAAAGCTCTCCATTTGCATGAGAGCAGGGGTGGGTGAGGGGTGGGGACCAAGCGGCTTTCCAAGAGCCCCAGCCAAGGAAGGTGGCTGGCCAGATGAAAGTCATAATCTGGGAAGTTGCTCCCAACTACATTCTCCCACCAGCATGCCTGTGCTTTGGCCTGGGCACCCCACCTCCGTCACCCCCCAGTATGTGCCAGACAGTAGATCTGCTCGTCTCCCGGGAAGGAGCACACTGGTATAACCTATCCCAAGGAATTCTTCTATCTTGCAGCTACTCAACAATCTTTTCAGAACAAACGCTCCTTCTGATGCCCAGCCACAGCCTGGGACTTAGAGATTTCCGTCCGTCATTTGCATCTATCTAGGGCCTCGTCATGTCAACCCAATAGAGGCAAATCTGGAGTTGTCGAACATATCAACAGAGGAATTGATTGCGGGCTGTAGAGAAAGGATTAGAGGGGACATCTCAGCTTTACAGGTGGGAGGATTCCTTTTAAACCATAACTTCTCTCCTGACTTTTGAATATGCTTCTCATTCTGAAAGTCTGATTGATAGGCAACTTTTCTAGCATGTGTCTGTGGTGGAAAGTAAAGGCCATGGCCACAGAGGCTGTGGCACTGTGGTATTTTGTTCTGGCCACAGGTTTGAATAGAATTTGTTGAGGCTCAGGGGTTAAGGGAGGGAGGAAGCAACCAGCCACCTTGTTTCCAGAGAACCTGGGGTAATTTGCAGGAGAACATAGGCTAGCAGGCACTGCTGAAAAGAGGGGACAAAGAGGAGCTGAGAAAGTGGCCAAGGTGGAAAGGCAAGTTGAGTGCAGAAGTGGGGAGGTGGCCCTACACAGGCTCTGGGCAGCCAGGAGGCCCCTCCTCTTCCAGGAGGACCCCAGTTCTGAGGCCCGAGAGGACAGAGTTGGGGTTGGAGAGTGTGGGGGGGAAACAGGGCTGGAAGGAGAGAGGCTGAGAGCTGGATGGCGCAGCCTGGGCATTCACGAGCAACTCGAGAAGGGGAATTCCTGCCAAGTCAGGGAATGAGCCATTGGCAGAGACATCATGCCTGTCGTCAGGAGTGGTGATCTCAGCCGGCTGGCCCCACCTGGCTGGGGCTCACCCAACGGGTAAGTGGAAGAGCGGGGAGCCAGGTGGGGAAGGGCTGGGCAGCAGCAAGGTCATCGGGAAGGGCAGCCTGGCTGACCTGGAGCCGTGGAGTCAGGAAGGTCATTCAGGTGGCCTATGGCTCCCTAAGGCGAGGGCAACACCAGGTTTTCATCAAGGGGGTGGGGTTTGCTTTGGCTGCAACTCCCAGATCATGGGGCTGCGGTTAGTTCCGAGTGGCTGCGGAAGGTGGGAACTTATGGGATTCCCACAGCCGTGGGCTCCAGGTCACTGGCAGGCATCAGGGCCTGTCACCGTAAGCTGGTGGGCCCGGTGCTGTCCTCTCTCCCTGCCCGTCCCAAGAGGAAGGCCTCTCCTCTGGCACTTCCATGCCTTGAGGCTTCAACCTTGGTTTAAACCACAAACATTCATAGGAGGCATCCACCATTCGTCCTCAGCAGCTTCCGGCCCTGGCAGACTTTCTCCTGATAGCTGGGTTGAGGGAAAACGAGATGAGACAGAGATGGTGCTGAAGAAGGCTAACGTTTATTGAGGGCTTACTAAGCGCCAGGCACTGCCACAGACACAGGCTATCTCATGCAAGCCTCACCACAGCCTTGGGAGGCAGATTCTTATTATCCTCAATTTAAAAATAAGGATAGTGAGGCTCCGAGAGTTTAAGCGACTTGCCCAAAGACACACAGCCGCTAAATGGTGCAGCTGGAATAGGAACCCAGGTCTGTCTGATGTTAGAGACCACTGAACTCTCAGCAAAATGGGAAAGTGTGTGTGTGTGTGTGTGTGTGTGTGAGTTTGTGTGTGTGTGTGTGAAGGTCAAGTAAAGGGGGCTTAGGGATGACTGGAACCTACCACAATTTTGAGAGGGGAGCCTCCCTGGCAAGAGAACAACAAAAAATTGTTGTGTCTCCTGATCCAGAATCCCCTGGGGAAAGTGTGCCCATTTACAAGAGAAAAAAACTGGAAATTTGCCCTCGGCACTTATTTCAGGGACTTAACTTTAGGTGGCCAAGAGGTCTCAAGGTGCCCCCGTGCCCCAGTCCAGCCCCTAGGTCTTCCCCCAGAAACCTGTAATCTGCAGCTACCTTCACCACCATCATCCACCACCACTTCTGCTCCCCAGTCCTGTGCCAGGGCCTCTCCTTTACCAAGGCTGGGGAAGCAGACAGATGCTGGTGGCTGAGCAGGTCCCTGAACCTCAGGCCCTTGGTCCACCCCCACCCCCCAGAGAGCCCTCCTCCCATGGGGCCCTTTCCGCTTTGCTGCTTTCTGCCCGGGTGGTAGATGCGGGGCTGAGGCCTGGCTGGGCCCCTCCTCCAGACCATACAGAGCCATAAGAAGTGAGAATTCCCAGCCAACTCCCTCCTAGAACCTCCTAGCTGTGGGACGGAGGAGGGTGCGGGCTGGTAGGATGCTGGGGCAGGTCAGAGTAGAGGGTAAGGGGGAGGCAGAATGGGAGACTGGGGTTCAAGTAGATGCCTCAAGCAGAGCAGCCTGGCTCTGGACAGAAAGGGGCATGAGCTTTTTCCCAGCACCCCAACTCTGGCTACCTTTGCACCTGCTGCACCAGCCCCTCTCCCCCCAATCCTTCCCCGGATTCATATCCTCCTGGCCTCCCCCACCCGGAGCCCTAAGCTCGACTTCCCTAAGAAATCCCCAAAACTCTCCAGTCGCGCCAAGTGCACGAGCATTTGGCCAGGGATTCCGCGGCATCTGGCATATCGTTCCCGAATTGTATCCTCTGGGCATCTCCTGGCCTCACCCACCCGCTCGGCCCGCCCTCACGCCAGGTCCTCCACACAGCAGGCGCTCAGTAATAATCTGGAGCGCAGGGCTGGGGCCAAAGGCGTCAAGCGAGTGGAGCGCGCAGGCCAAGGGGGCCGGACATAGCCATCCAGAGTCCCCCGGGAATGGAGCGGCTTTCTCTACGAGGCATTGTGTAGGGGCTTCCCGGACGGAGCTGCGGGCCCCGGAACGCGCCAGGTGGGGGGTGGGGCGCTGGGAGCGCGAAGTGGGCTCCGCGGGAGTCCTGCTCTCGCGGTTCCCCGGGGGCGAGCGAGCCGGGAGGGGAAGGAGAGGCCGCGCGGGCCCCTGGCACGGCTCCCCCTGCCGTGCTGGCGACCGCGGCGGGCCGGGGGTGGAGGGGCGCTGTTTCCACCAAGACGCCTCGTCCCTCCCTCGCGCCCTCCCCCCCCGCCCGCCCGTGGTCCCTCCCGTCGGTCCCTCCCTCCGGCTCTTCCCTCCCTCCCGCCCTGCCTCCTTCGCGCCCGCCCCAGCCGCCGCCTGCGGGGACGTGTGTGTCTCTAGTGCAATTTCCCCTTTCGCTCGGTTGTCTGATTGCAGGTCTCCGCTGGCTCGCGCCCCCTCCCCGGGCGCCCCCGCCGCCCCCTCCCTCGGCCTGACCCTCCCCGGCGTCCACCCGGCTCCCCCCGCACTCCACCCCACTCCCCGGAGTCGTTTTATCAGGGGCGCCGCCGTCTCACCTGGTATTTGCATCTCGCCCTCCAACTTGCCATTGGCGGCGCGACGTGTGGGAGAGCCCTGCGCCTCGCCCGCCCGGACCAGCCTGCCCCGGCGCCGAGGTGAGTCACGGGCGCGGGGCCGCGGGGGCAGGCGGGCAGGGAGGAGAGGAGGGAGGGAGGGAGGGAGGGAGGGGGACGGTGGCCCCGGCGGGCGCGGGGACCGACCGGGCGCCGCGCTCAACTTCCACTTCTCCTTTCGCCGGCGCCGAGGTATCGGCGCCACTCGCCCGGCCCGGCTTCCGAGGGGAGAAAGCGAGCTGGCCGGGCTGGGGACCCGCGTCTCGGCCCTCAGAGCGGGGAGGGGACCGCGGCGATCGACCCCGGCCCCGCTACCGAGCCCCTTCGGCGGCAGGTACGTCGATGGCGCCGGTTTTCTGAGCCTTCGGGGACCTCAGAAAGTTTGCCTGAGGGCGGGATAGGGGACGCCTGGGCCCCGGAGCGTAGGGGCTTGGGGCCCAGGGAAGGGTGGGAGAGCGGCGGCGTGTTGAGTCCCGCCCTTGCCTCGCCCCACCGCGTGTGCGTTGTGGAACCCGGACCACGGATCCTGGGTTAGAAGCTGAGTCGATTTCCTGAGTCGGGGTGGGGGCCGGTTTGCCTTCTCCCCAGGCAGCCCGGGGTCCGTGACTGGGCCTATCGTGACAGCCCGCCCCAACAGCTCGGTGCCCGAGGGCAGGAGGTTGGGCCTCACTGGCGGGGCTGCTAGATTGATCTGGCGGCCTCTAGGGCTTCTGGGACCAGGCGCCTTAGGGTAACACACACACACACTCTCTTTCTCTCCCTCTCTCCACACACACACACACACGCACACGCGCACACACACACACACACACACACACACACACACACCTATGAACCTATGACTTGGATAACTGGGTCGCCAAAATAGAGACCTCTCTCGTCAGGGGCCAGAGTTTCGGTGTGAGCCGGCCGCCAGCCTTCCCGCTCCCGTGTTCCCGCTCTCCCGGGCTCTCCCGCCTCTCTGTTCCCTCCTCTGCTGCCGGCACGGGGACTCAGCAGCCGCGCAGCGCGGGGTCCCCTGCCGACAGCGCCTTGCTTTTGGAGACTGCTGAGGCGGCGGCTTTATGGATTCCCGGTCCCTCCGTCGCACCCGAAGTCTGCCGCCCTTCCCTCACTACACGGCCTTCCTGACCAGAGTCACCTCCTGACCCCATTGGCTCCGCGCCTCGGCCAGGTTCTCCCCGGCTGCCCACCCCCCACACGCCAGCCATGGGATTTGATGGCCGTTTGATTCCTGCCCCTCATCCTTCTGCCCGAGATAGAGGCCTGTCTGGTCCTGCAGCTTCTTATGGTTAATGTTTGGCGGTTCATTGTGGCTAATCATTTTAATTAGCTCTTAAAGTGGGGAGGATCAGTTAACCTTGAACTTCTCGATTTTGGCCTGGTGGGGCCTCATATGGGAGGAGTGCTGGGGAGGTAGGAGCGGAAGTGAGGTCACCACCCCAGGGCCAGAGCCACCACTGCTTGGCCCCAACAGCTGGTGGGCACACCCATCAGGGACTCACCCACTGCGAGCTGACCCCTGGCCTGAGTGCCAGGTTGGAGGGGGGGAGGTGAAGGGATCAGATCTAACTCTCTCCTCTGGGGAGACAGGACACTTTGGCACTGAAAATGCTCAGGGTCACGTTTGCACGGCAAGAATGCAGATTCCTCCTCGCGGTTAGTTATGTAGGGTTTTACCGATTATAAGGCACTTTCTCAGCCATTAATTCAGTAGACCCACAGCAGTAACAGATAACGGGGAGCTATCTTGAGTTAAGTGGAGGAATTAACTATCCTGGAGGACTTCCTATCCTGGCCAGTGTGGGGAAGAGGCTGCCTTGCAAGTGGTTGTCTCTGGGTTCAAAGCCTGGGAGGTGTGAGTTGCAGGGGTGGGGGTCGTTGAGCAGGCTCCACGTTGCCACCCTCACCCAGCCTCTAGCTGTGAGCCGAAGGAGTGGCTTGTTTGCAACTATGTCTGGCATTCCTCCCACTGCTGCACTGTTTGCTCGGTGGTTGCTCAGGAACTGGCGCCCACCCCTGGACAAACTGGAGGCCTGAAAGCAGCCCTCCCCCTGCCTTGAGCTAAGTGGTGGGACAGCAGCGTCTGTCTCCTCTGTCCTACATGGGAATCTAAAAACGAGGGTGCTGTGGTCCGTCATTCAGGGGCCTGATTAATAGGATGTCCAAAATATCCCTAGCCTGCAAAATTCAGGGCCTCCCTGAGAGGCCCAGCCAGACGCAGGCTGAGGGGGTTGCTTTCCCAGGGAAAGCTCTGCACCGAAGTTTGGCCTTGGTCCTTGCGAGCCTCACCCCTCACCCCTCAACTTTTTCATTTTCCCTCCCATCCCTAGAGCCAGACTGTCTGGGTTTATATCCCAGCTCTGTTATTTACTAACTGTGTGATCCCAGTCAATTGTGTGCCTCAGTTTCCTCATTTGTCAAATCAGACCTACCTCATAAAGTTTTGCTAAGGGTGAAATACATCAATACACATAAGCTGCTTATTATTAGAACAGTGCACGGCACATGGTAAGCGCAAGCGGGCCTTATGGTATTGTCTTAGACGGTGCCTAAAACTCAGATTCAACTCAGCGCACATTTGCTGAGAACCAGTCCCAGTACTAGGCATCAGCGAACGGGCAGTGAGGGAAATACAGAGGTGAAGAAGGCACCGCCTGTCTTCCGGGACTGTGTGTACCTTCTGGCATGGGCCAGAGTCAGGGTGGGGAGTGTGGGAGGGGGCCAGAGAGGGTGGCTAGGTCATCTATATAAATAACCAAAATTTGAAGCCGGGCTCGAATCCCTAATTCAAAGCCAGTGTGGGGAGCCAGGTACCTCAGACTTGGAGGCTTCTCCTTGTCTGGGGACACTGGCTGGGCTCTGGTCAGGACACCACCCCTGGACAGAGGCCTGCCCTGGGATTTGGGTGAATGAGAGGGAGGGGGAGACCCAATTCCTGTGTGGGCTGCAGGTGGCAAGCATTCAGTGGTGTGATTTGTTGGTTTGCAGGACAGGACGGCGTTACTTAGGGCCACCCCCAGACTCCCCTCTAGCCCCTCTGCCTGCCATGCCCCCAGCACCTCCCGGAGGTCCCCCACCAAGCTTGGAAGGGCCTTGGGCAGCCTTCTCCCCTCAAGCTTGGGCCTGACCCCAACGCAGGCTTGCTTCTCTCTCCAGGATTTCTAAGCTGCAAAGAGGTTTCTGGATTCACTGCCAATTTATTCCCTTTGTGGTTCTCAGACTGAAAACTAGTTCTGCAGGGGAGAGAGGAAACTCATCCGAGGTACCCAGAATCCCATGGGCGCTTTCCTAGGGGTCAGGGGCTTTTCTCATCAACACCAACCTGCCTGCAAATCTCTGGCCGCTGAGTCTTGCATGGCCTGTAATAGCAGCCGCACCGCTAATGCCCTATAGCTCGGACCCCAGCGCTGGTTGCCAAGGAACTGCTGGTCGGGGTGCTTATGACGGTTCTGACCTCATAGGGGCCGCTGAGTTTCAATTCAAAGGATATTTATTAACACCTACTGTGTGCCCAACCTGTGCTAGGTGCTGTAGGGGAGACGAGCGAAGGGGGTGGGGTGGGAGAGATGACTAAGACACTGATACAAGCAGAGGCGAGGCCAGCGGCTGGTCAGGTGCTAATTGTGCTCCTTGGAGCAGGGGCCAGAGGCGGCCGGGGCTCTGAGGTCAGCAGCAGTTGGAGGAGGGAGGGAAGGCTTTGTGAGGGCCTCGGCTCTGAGCTAGACCTTGAAGGGGGCAGGGTGGTGCGGGGGAGATTGGGCTAGGCAGAAAAGGGAGAGAAGACGCCTTTCTCTCTCTTTCCTGGCCACAGGCTGACCTTCAAAGCCTCTATAATTGTTTGGCGAATGCATGTCACATAAAAGACCAGGTCAGCCAGTGTGGGTGGCTCGGTGCAAACCCCAGTCTGCATCCTGGGAGATGCAAAGTGGATGGCCCAGGTGGGGAGCCCAGCGCCCCCAGGACGGATTGATAAAACACAAAGGTTGGCCAGGCTTTCCCGCCCCACAAGCTGAGGGGATTTCATGTTGATCTCCCGCCTCCCCCATCCCCTCCACCGCCCATGCAGAGGCCCTGGAGGGGAGAGGGGAAAAAGAGAGGCAGAGGGCACCAAAGGGACAGGAAAACTGCCCCGCCACAGGTGTTACTGCAGGCATGGGCTGGTTGAGTCCCATCTTTCCCCAGGGTCCTGGGATTGCTCTGGAAGCCCAGAGGTTCAGGTAGAGGATAGAGATTTTCATTTTCTCAGCCAGCCGAGAACTAAAATGTCCCACATGTTTCTGTCCAGACTCCCTGGGGAAGGGCGAGGACTAGCCATGTATTTGTTCTGGGACTTCTGCATCTCCCATGCCTGGATGTGGAGGGGGACTTGGTCCTTGTTGGATTTAATTGGATAAAAACACCTGGACACACACATACCGCCCCCGCCATGCATCAGTTTTCCTCTCTCACTGCCCTCTTGCCCTGCACCCTCCCCAGCACATTGCAAAACCACAGACACACCAGAGTGCCCTGACTTTTTGGCCCGGGAAATTGTGTCCTAACGTGAGTTACTTGGCAAAGAGACCCCACCCAGCCTTCTCCCAGGGTGGTGAGGAGGGTCAAGCAGAGCAGGGAGGGGTGTTTCATGCAGGAGGATCTGCGAGGGAAAGTGCCAGAACATTTCTCAGCCAGACCAACAAGAAGCAAGAGGTTAAACAGCTTGCCCAGATTGAGGAAACTTTGCCCTAGGTTCCCATCTTCTCGAGGGACCCCCTTCTTGTCCCAGTGCTGGTACTTTCCACTTCTCACTCCACCTGCCCTTCCCGAAGCTCCCTTCCTCTTCCAGTCTAACTCAGTATTCTTCTCGAGCCCGGTATTATCCGGAGGAGGAAGAGCACAGGCTCTCTGCGTTCATATCCCAGACCTATCACTTACTGGCTGTGTGACTATGGACTAGTCACATAACCACTCTGAGTCTCAGAACCCACTTCCCAGGGTTTGAGTGAGGATTAAATGAGATAATGCCTGTAAAGCACTCAGCATGGTGCCTGGCACATGGTAACCA